GATGTATCCATCGCAAAAAATTGCTATATCCACGCGTTTTTATCTTCTTAGGAATCTTATCTTCCCTCTCTAGCCACTTATCAACAAAAACGGAGTCAATATCAGATATATCTTTTAAGGATTTCGACCGAGACGAGATCGAGGCAGCTGTCATATCTAAAAACTGTCGGGTGCATACATGGCTAGCCTCGTTTTCATTTTCAAGATGGCGGATCGTGATAAGAGAGTATGACTTAGTGTTTAGGTTATTCAAGTTAAGAGAGCTTATTGTTTGCCTCACTTCTAAGTGGCTCGGAACACCTCTTGATAGTATTCCTAATACAAATAAACCCAACTTATGCATAATTACTCCGGCTCTGTATGTTCATTCCGGAAGCCGTCTTAGTGACCACCTATGAATCAAAATCTTTCCGCTTGAGCTGATCTTTCCTGACAAAAATTAACAAGAAAGAAGGAACGAACACTTTCAAGTATTTTGTGGATGCCGGACCAAGAGATCTAAAGGTCAGTGAAGTTCTCGACGGTAACAGTTGCCGTAACTAGACGTCTTTTCGTGTTCTCTTCAATCACCAAGGTGTTTTAGAAAGGTGTCGAGTAGTAAACTTTGCTTTTCGAATGGTTGACTAGTTTGAGGTCACGATTGTAACACTGAATTGCTCAACTCATTGTGCTATTGTGATGAATGAAATTATCAAGGCATCCTGTCAAAAGGTCGGTGCAGCTGTATAAGCCACCTAGCATATACCATTTACAGCGTGCTCAAATATGGAAAGGGCATTCTATATGTCATAACAGAAAGTTTATAAAAAATACGAAGAGCTTAACGTAGAAAGTGGCTCAGTTACTGAAATTTTGCCAAAGTGGCCCCTTAAAGGAAGGTATTAATTTCTACGTATTGTTTTTCCTACTGATCATGGCACGCGAGCGGAATGTTACAGACTAGCGTCAGAAAACTGGGTCGAGAGCATCAAATTAAGGCTAGCAGGTGGGCTTTAGGCATCGATTAGTTCCTCGATCAAAGTGCTGCAAACAGTCCTCAACCCAATTGTGTTGAAATATCACCAACGGTAATAAAAGTCTCAGTAATGTAGTGAGCGTCACTCCGTTCCATCTTGATGGTGGTTAAAAACGTGGTTTTTAAAAAACCATTCGAGGTGGGTTTTATTAATTTTATCCCTTAAAACAGTTTGCTCTTTGACGATTTGTCTTTATAAGTCCCGAGCTTTCTGTGGTTTGGTCTATTTCTTACATTTTGCTTGCACACGTGCTTGGTCGAATTCACAGCTTTCTTCGTTTCGAATTTCTTTCTTTGGTTTTATGGCTAGCTCATCTCCCACAGTTCTTATTTTAGGCCATTCGTTTGTTCGAAGGCTGAGTTCAGACCTTAGATCCAATTTTGATGCCCGTGCTGCCAAGCATTTTAATCGTTTGGGCGACGCCGTGATTCACTTGCATGGCGTGGGCGGTCGTACTGTGAAGAAACTTCGCCTTTACGACCTTGGTGTTGTTTCTGCCCTAAAACCCGACGTCATCATTCTTGAAATAGGCACTAATGATCTTGGTGCTAACCGTCCCGAGGTCGTCGGTTCAGGGATCGATGATTTGGTTCAATTGCTGCTCCAATCGTACTCTGTACGAGTCATCGGTATTTGCGAGGTGATACCTCGTGTTCGAGCGCCGTTCTTCAACACGGCGGCCACGACCTCAACCAGTATCTCACCGATGTTCTACAGCCTTGTCCCAACGTTTTTTCCTGGCGCCATAAGGGCTTAAGTAATCCCACCGTCAGTCCTTACTTGCCCGATGGCGTTCACTTAAACCCTCAAGGCCAATATTCTCTCTATCGAAGCTATCGGGGAGCTATCTTGAAGGCCCTTCGCTCGCTTTGATTTCTCACCTTGCGGCTTTCTTTTTCTGGTATTGTTTTATAAGGCCCTGGGGCTGGATTTTATTAATCTTGATTTTCGGCCCTTGTTGGAAACAATTTTTGTAATTTTAAGCCCTTGTTACTCTGGTTTGTTTAATTATAATTTATTAGGGCCCGTGTTGCTCATGTTTCATTTCCCTTTGAGCGCTGGTTGCTCTTGTCTGTTTTCCTTTTGAATTAGAGCCATTATTGCTCTGGTTTTCTTTTAGTTGAGGCCCTTGTTGCTCCTGTTATTTTGAAGTAGAGCCATTGTTGCTCTGGGTTTATTTATTTCAGGCCCTTGTTGCTCATCCTTATTTTGAATTAGTGCCATTGTTGCATTGGTTTTATTTGCTTTGGGGCCCTTGTGGCTCCTGTTTAATTTGAATTTGAGCCCTTGTTGCTCTGGTTTTATTTTACTTGGGGCCCTTGTTTCTCCTGTTTATTTTGATTTAGAGCCCTTGTTGCTCTGGTTTTTATTTGGGGCCCTTGTTGCTCTTGTTTATCTTGCATTAGCCCCCTTGTTACTCTGGTTTTATTTTACTGGGGCCCTTGTTGCTCCTGTTTATTTTGATTTAGAGCCCTTGTTGCTCTGGTTTTTATTTGGGGCCCTTGTTGCTCTTGTTTATCTTGCATTAGCCCCCTTGTTACTCTGGTTTTATTTTACTGGGGCCCTTGTTGCTCCTGTTTATTTTGAT